TTTTTTTTTCTGTCTATATTTAGATATGGACCCTGAACACAGCCCCTTCAATATCATGACAACAGCAAATATCATTCCGATTTTTCTTCCCTTTTTTGGCATATTTTGTAATCATGTTATACAATCTATCTGGCTTTGTTCTATTTTTAGAGATGGACCCTGAACCCTGAACACAGCCCATTCATGATCATGGCAATGGTGAATACCATGCTTATTTTTCACTTATTTTGCACTGCTTCTCAACCTATCTGTTTCCATTTTTCAGACAGCTTTCTATATTTGGATATGGACCCTGAACCCTGAACACAGCCTCTCCAACTTACTAAGCAATATTCTGATTTTCTACACATTTTTGGCCAATTTATTTGCCATTTTTCCTGATTTTATGGCTGCTTCTCTCCTTAAGAGAAAAGGTTCCCGCGGTGATGAAAGGTAAATCAATGAATCAATGAAAAATTTGTCTAAGTCCTCAGTTGATAAAGAATGAGTCTTACTCGTAAACTCGTAAGGACTCATAACATCTGTCACAGAAAACTGAGAAAATCTAGCACCAATAAAGGGACGATAACAAGGGAGGCTAACTTTGTCCGAGACGGTATTATCCTTATGGAACCTAAGTCATTGTTCAACTTTGTCATCCGGGGCCTACTTCAAATTTCTGCCTATATTGTTCGTCAGCTTCCATTGCCTATGGGTGTACGAATAGACCAGGCAAAGTTTACGTCTGCATTCACCATGCAAGACAATATGACAACCATCACTGCTGAACCTTGGCCTGAAGCTCCAGATGGTTCGGTCTCTGATCCCATTTTACCAGGGGAGATTGAGGTTGATGGGATGGATCCATCTGTCAAAGCAGCTCATATTCGCAAAAAAATCCACATGGAATGGATTGACCACAAAGCCAATATGGCCAGCTTTATACCATCCCAGTGGGGCCACGTTAAGGACTACACAGATACGACAAGTCAAGATACAGAAGTTGATAGGCCAAAACGTGAATGTCTTACCATTGTCAAATTGCTTCACACTTATGCTTTCTTATAGATGTGGGTGGTGGCATCAGCAGGAAAAACAAGAATGAAGGTCAAAACCGGGAGAGGGAGCTTCAATGTAAGTGATTGTTTTTACTTGGCAGATTGTTACTGAGAAAACATAGGTATCAGTGCAAGGCTTGGAAGAAAAAAACCCATAGATGGGATCACTATTGATAGCATGAGTTTATTGAATCAACATCTTCATCAAGGTAAGTAATGTGAGGGTAACGTGTAACATACCACAGTGATTGATGATGCAACATTAGAGACAGTAATGCGACGAAAGCTAGAGGCTAAAAATAC